CATGTGCTAGACCCGCTGCCTTTCCTGTGTTCATTTAATTGAAGGCTTTGGACGAGGACCCGAGTCGTTCGCATGTCAGATGTGGACGCCCTGCCAGTGTCCTAGTCCATCTTCTTCAGAGGTTAGGAAGTGGTCGATGGCCCTCTTCCCGTAAAACCTAGCCATGGGAGACAACAGATCTACAAGTTATAAGCTCACAGCTTGATTGGCGTAGAGTACGAGCGCCACGCATTGTCTCTGTCGGTGGGAGGACACCTCCGGGTGTTCAATGGTTTGCTACTGCCCGCCTTAAGCCAGGCAGCCCCTGGTCAAATTGGTGCAAGCCCGCCAAAAGCCACCTGCGTCCGGCCGTGGTCGCAGGTGCGTATCCTACTACGGTCGCAAAACCTATATGAATCGTTCCAGTACCTCAAAGGTTGCGTGTGAAGGCCGTCAAGCAGATCCCAACCTGTCTCTACAATCACATTCCCGAGCTGGATCTGCTCCCCACTGCTTTGTGGGTCAGGCTATTGAGCCAAAGGCTCCGGGTGAAGTCCCTCAAGCAAACCTCCGAAGCACAACTGCCACCTCGCGTGCGATTGCCCACTAATGCAATTGTACGCCTGCGCGCAAAGTACTCAGCATCGGGTGCTGGAACGTGCGCACACTACTGGACCGGAACTCGAGTGAACGCTCCGGGCTACGCACTGCACTGGTCGCGATGGAACTGGCGCGATACCACATCGATATTGCGGCGCTCAGTGTGACTCGGCTCGCTGAGCAAGGTAATTTGCATGAAGCAGGTGCTGGCTACACATTCTACTGGATAAGCAACGCCGCCTCAGTACCAAGTGATCATGGGGTCGGATTTGCAATATCCAATCGCCTAAATGGCCAGCTAGTGGGTGAACTAACAGGCATCAGCGCGCGACTGATGACTGTTCGCCTACGACTCGGAAGAGGTAATTTTACCTCTTTTATAAGCACGTACGACCATGTGTTAGCCAGATGACACGCGTGACAAATTCTACACCCAGCTATCCTCCGTGACACGGTCTGTGCCGATGAGTGACCGACTATTACTGCTGGGTGATTTCAACGCGCGCGTTGGGCGTGATGCTTCCGTGTGGACAGATGTTATCGGTCCGCATGACCTTGGTTCAGCGAATGCGAAAGGTGACAGGCGGGTCTCAATGTGTGCCATTCACGGCCTGACGAGCACTAGCACTCGGTTTGCACTGAGTGCGAGTGATATAGCAACTTCGACGCACCCACGGAGTAGTCACGCTCACCTGCTCGACTATGTCAGCGTACGTCAGCGTGATATGCGTGAAGTGCGCATGACACGTGTACTGCGTGAATCTGAGTGTGGCACTGATCACAAATTGGTGCGGACGGAACTGTATATATATTTTCGTAAATCTATGTATTGCACTTCCGCCATAAATCGGCGTAAATTTATCATTCTCTCTCGGTACTGTGGAGAAACGTATTGAGCTGGAGAAAGCGATGGCTGCACGCCTGTGTGATGTGGAATACATAGCCACAGTGGGCGACCTGTGGTACCACATTCATGACCAGGTGACAGCTGCTGCCGAGGAGACCATCGGGCGCGCAAACTGTAAGCGGCCTGATTGGTTTGATGAGAACAATGCGACGATTGGCGCATTGGTGTCGGAGAAGAAGGCAGCATTTGATGCTCATGTGGCAGACCCCAGTGACTTCTGGAGGAAGAGGCAGTTTCGCAGAAATCGACGGCGACTGACTCGCGAGCTCCGTCGCATTAAAAATGCATGGTGGACGGAGAAGGCGAAGCAGATGGAATGCTACGCCGAACGCCGCCAACACAAGGAATTCTTTGACTCTTTGAAGGCGGTGTATGGACCGAGATTGGAGCCGCTGAGGACGCTGATCGATGGTAGTTCAGGCGCTACCTGTACACAGACTGCAGACATAATGCAGATCTGGCGGAAACACTTTGACTGTCTCTTGAACAACCGTTCAGAGATCGACTGGCCTACATTGAACGGCCTTAAGCAGCACGATGTGAAGGCGAGTCTGGCAGACACGCCGACACTGGATGAGACGCAGAGAGCACTTGCTCAGCTGCGAAACGGCAAGTGTGCCGGTGCCGACGGGATTCCCCCTGAAGTATTGAAACACGGCGGACCCGCATTGGTGCCTACGCTGCACCACTTGGTGCAACGCTTATGGATTGAGGAGGAGGTGCCTGCTGAACTGAAGGATGCCCTTGTGCTACCACTGTACAAGGGCAAAGGGGGCAAGCAATGTTGCACGAATTATCGTGACATCAACTTGCTGAGTTGTGTGGGCAAAGTGATTGCCCGAATCCTGCTCAACCGCCTCGTCAGTCAGGCTGTGGAACCTAACGTGGTGGAAGAGCAATGTGGATTCTGTTCGGGTCAGAGCAATATAAATATGGTGGTTGCGGCTCGTCAGTTGCAGGAGAAGTACAGAGAACGAAACCAGCCGCTGTACTCGCTTTTTGTTCACTTTACCAAGGCATATGATACGGTGAACCGCGAGGCATTGTGGCTGGTGTTGGATAAGCTTGTTTGCCCGCGTAAGTTTGTAAGTTTAATTGAATGTCTGCACAGTGGTATGCGAGCGAGGGTGCAGCTGAGTGGAGAGACCTCGGATGACTTTGCAGTCCTCTCTGGTGTGAAGCAAGGCTGTGTCTTAGCTCCTACCCTGTTTAATATATATCCTCATGCCATAATGTATTGTGCTTTTGATGTGGCTTGTACTTAAGGTGTTCGTGTGGAGCACCGTATTGATGGTGGGTTGCTGAACATCCGTCGTTTCAGTGCGAGAACCCTAGTCTGTGAGACAACTATCCGTACGTTGCTGTTTGCTGACGATTGTGAGTTGTTTTCACACAGCGCGGATGAGTTGCAGCACATGACTAGTGCTCTGACTTCGACACCGATCAAATTCGGGCTCACCATCAACACAAACAAAACTGTCTGTCTATTTCAGCCTTCATCGGAGGTGCAATCTTCAATATTGCCTCGAATCAGCATTGGTTTTGAAGTAGTGGAAACCACATCCCGTTTCTGCTACATTGGGAGTGCGCTGTCGACTGACCAGCAGCTACACAGTGAGCTGCGTATTCGCGTCTCGAAGGCAGCGGCGGCATTCGGGAAGCTTGAGTACCGAGTGTGGAACAACATCAGCTTACCATTGGCACGAAGCTGATGGTGTACAAATCCATGGTGCTGTCCGTTCTTCTATACGGCAGTGAAACGTGGACGATGTACCGGCGGGGTGTGCGATATCTCGAGCGGTTCCATCAACAGTGTTTGCGACGGATTCTGCGCATCGGTTGGTGCGACAGAGTTGCGGACACAGAAGTGTTGCGCCGAAGTGGAATGTATGCAGTAGACTGCATAATCTCACTGAGATACCTGAGGTGGTTCGGTTATGTGAGCCGTATGGACTCGACGCGGATACCAAAAAAGCTATTATATAGTCAGCTGAGTACTGGGAAGCGGCATGTGGGGAAACCAAAGTTACGTTACCATGACATGATCAAAGTGAGCCTTTTACGTTCTAGTCTGGATTGCAGGTCACGGGAATCGAAGGCGATTGATCAGCGTGCATGGCGCGATCTGATCACGAAGGCAGTTGCCGAAGTGCGGGAGAAAGACCTCATGCATGCAGAGAAGAAGCGGCAAGTACGGAAGCGGCAAGCGCCGATGGGTTGTACTCTATCGACATCGAGCGCATGGTACTGTAGCACATGCGGTCGCGAGTGCCTGAGTCAGGCAGGCCTAGTAAGTAATGAGCGAGGCCAGTCAGGGACCAGCACCGAAGCGACAACGGGTCCTACAGCGAACGTAGACAGAGCCGGCGCAGCGTTTGTAGGTACGCTGCATTCGATTTACTAACTATGTGCTTGCATGGTAAGTCTATTTATTTCAGGTGGTGGGTGTTCAATTTTGTCCTAATGATCTTCTTGATAATATTATTGTCTACTTGTACTATCCTCTATAAACTCGCACACGTTGCTGAAGCTAATTGTAGTTAATTTCGATAACATTTTCCTGTTTGTGGCATTTCCTTAACAATCTTTTCTGACCACTTGAACTTATCGCGGACTTGCTCGTAATCATTTTTTATGCGCTCATTTTGTGAAGAGTTATGTCTCCTATCTGTAGGCATTAACGATTTAGTTTATTTCATCTTGTCGGTTCAAGTGATTGGCTGTTGTTTGACATCCCCGGTATGGTTACGCTTGATGTGCATGTTGACAAGGTGCCTAACTGTCTATTACCCACTACCTCGTCCATACTGGCTCTATGAGACAATTGGTCGTTACTGGAGAGGACGGGGTGCACGGTTCTTGTGGCCGTGTTAGGCTCGAAGAGTGGTTCCATGCACTCAGTGTGGAGCGGACTACGGTCCAGCCACCGCCTTGTATGCGCTTGATTCCCAAATACAGCCTGGTTGTGTGTTGCCTGTGAAGGAGTGTGGGCCGGCTCCGTTGATGAAACGTGGCTCCCATCCACATGCCTCCCGGTCTTATTCCTTCGGGTTTCCCCTGGATATCGGGTGTGTGGATGGAGCTGTGGGTGGTGCAGCGCAAGCCATCCATGGTCCCTCTGTAGGCGCAGGCGTCTTGTAGCTGGCCACAGTGACAAGCAAATCCGAAACCGGACTCCGCCAACTATGTACACAGATCTTACACGAGCTTCGACTGCGTTAAATCACCTATAATATAACTGAAACCAACCCTTGCAATGTGGCTTGAATTCAGTGTTAAAACGTATTTGCTACCGATACCCCATCCGTGGAATGTTCATCTAAGGGCTTATTAAATATGACACAGACAGGTTTTGTCCGGCGTGAAGTGCACTTCTTCGGCTCCTGGCTGACGAAATCAGTGATAAATGAATCTTTGTCTGGCAATATATATATATATATATATTGTGTGTGTGTGTATAGACAATAACAATAAAACTAAGGTAAACATTGATTCAGCATGAACATTTCCTCACTTGTTTCGCCTCATAGGGGGTATTCTGTGGAGGTATTGAGGGCATGTTTCGTGAAAGTCCCTTTGTTATCACTTCATATTCTTTGGTAACACGACGCGCGTTCATGTAGTCCCGGCTGCGTTCCTCGGTGAATTTTTTCGCAATCAGTGGGTTGATGGAGTTTTCGTACATGCAATAATCTCGCCAAACCGTCTCGATTCCCAGCATTGGTGTGACAATAGCACGTTGATAGACACGCCGAGTGGCAGTGATTTTTTGGCTTTCAGCGTATGAACCTTGCACTTGACTGCAATCAAGAAGGGACAGGGACGTGCGCGTAAGGCATAAAATTAAAAAAGACGAACAAACGCACTGTTAAGCAGAATCCCAGTTATTGTGTAAACAGGAAAAACAACGTTTGGATGGACTATTGGTGTCGCAAACATGGCCTGAAGTTCAGTAACAACCAGTGACCGCGAAGTCGACCGTACTCCGATGGGTAATACTGTTCAGGCGTACTGAATGTCCTGTTACAATCAATCAGCTATGCATAAACCGAGGAATGAGAATGCGAAAAATGCCGCTGGATGAAATGCGGATGACAAAAGTCGGGGATACCAAATTTGCCAAGTCGGTGATTAATGCCGAAACAATTCGAGATCTTCAGCGGTAGGCTACTGTTGAAGAAGTCATTTTGAAGCATTAGTTGTGAATGGATGGACACGCAAGCACAATCAGGATCATGATTCAAGTGGAGGTGAATCTCAGTCCATTCGATCAATAGGACCAGATTTGAAGGTTAGATGTACCATGCTCACGACATGGTCCTCCAGGACGGGTATCGTACTTGTTTGCAGCCAGAAGGACCACGACTGAAACTCCGGACGTTTGGGAAGTTAGCTAAAACCGCTAATCCTAAGCCACCGAGTCAGGGCGGACAACCCTTTTCACGACAGTTAATGACTGACTGAAGGGATTACTTCGAAGCAACAGTTGGATTGTGACACGCAATTTCAGTCAAGGCTGTGGTTCACGTTGAAGTGAATTGCAATCAGTTCGATTGTCAGGGACGCATATGAAGTAGATATCGCTGCTCCTACGATAAATTGCAGGCGGTAAGGGGTAGAAAGAGACCTCGTTAATGAGCTTCTATTTATTAAGCACCTAGTACAAAAACAGTCAACCGCGTAAAAAGTTAGTCTTAAGTAGTGCGATTATTTTTACAGATTACGCAAGCAAAGTTCAGTGTCTACTCGAAAGTAGATTGTGCGTACTGTCTGAGTGGAGCTGTCAAATAAAGTCCATAATACACTACCGACTCGTCCTCGACAATTATGGTGGCCGCAGCGTAGGAGTAAGGCTACGCCATAATCCTAGCCAAGAGCCAGGACACATGCACATGAATTGATTAAATCATGGAACATTTTCCGCTGCTTTTCAAGAGTGCATTTTATAGAAGGCTTTGCCTAAGGACATAAGTCGTTCCTCTGTTCAGGTGTGGGTGACCTGGTAGTATGTCAACCCGACTGTCAAACACTGATAGCACACACATAAATAATTGTGTATTGAATAGGCCGAAAGGGGTATATAACTGCGTTGTAATCAGGTGACCGGTTCGAATCAGCGTAGCTGTGGGCGACCTCGCGCGACTTTTGGTAGCTGCGTGGCAGCAAAGTGTCGGCACGAGATGCCGACGTACTACTGATGCCTTTGAGTATTGAGCAAAGGACTGTCTGATCTGCATACAACGAGATTGATGAGCGAAACTATGCCACCGCTGATGCCTCCCAGCTTTCTCTTACCAGTTCCCTTCCGTACTCGTCCCTTCGAAGCCACATTTCACCTGAACGGTCCAACTTGTCTGAATCTCAACTTCCCCATCAATAGGCTCACCCCAGCGGTTGCCCGGTGCAATTGTACGTCCTCGTGAACAGCGCCCTAGTTCGGAACGATCGAAAACTCCTCGATCAGAGCATGAATCGGTGTCCTGTATGAGACGTTGCCATTAATCTTAGGCGCTACGGTGTTAGTAGTACCACTCAGTGGGACTCGGCTGGTTGATGTAGGCAAGTTACAACGACAATGTGTTAACTATACAGTTTATGGATGGGGTAAACCGCCATATCCACACGTGAACATTGTATCGTTCTTGAAACATGCAAACACTTGAATGTGTTATGGTCCCGAAGGTCAAAGCGTATCGTGCTGATTGGCCGTTTCGAACCCGATCGCTCCAATTGGATGATCAAGGAAATAAGGTTTCAGACATAAATTTAATAGCTGTAAATTAAACGATAATAAAAAGGCGCAGACAAGCGTTATATGTTCCAGCTTACTTTCTCAAAAGGTTTCTGTTCTCTTCCAATCCTTACAGACCAATAATATTAGCACATTGTCAGAGAACATCCTTCAGATTGATCAATGCGGAATCCAAAGAAACGGTTAGATTTTGGTCGACAAAGGGTTCATAGATCCCTTCCTTAGGAGGTGCTCCTCCAACGTCCGGTATCAGCCCAAGGTTGATAACACTTCATCTGCGCCTCGGAAGGGATCATTTCGCTACATTTGTAAAGGCGCACGAAGTAACCACGCGTTATTCTGTATGCTATATACTGAATTGTTTTGAGCCACCGGCACAGTTCGTCCTTTGGACCCCAACCAGGCACGCGCGTGGATCCAGCAGTAGCAAGAGGTGAAGTCAACGACTTCGGATGCTGTTGCTAAGTGGATGGCTGACGACCGCATGGTCTCTGTCAGCCGAGTCCTGTAAGAGGAAACAGGGTGCGATGGAGTTAACGCTCAGGTGACATACGTTGAACGTGGCCCACACATAATGACCGCAGCAAAACAATCTAGTTGAATGGAATATTCGCATACCCCAAGACACGACGTCGGATTTCAACGTTGTGGATAGGTGGCTGCCACACCACATGAGCAGTCCTCCTCAAGTAACCCTGGTTGAAAATCCAGAGCCGGTGTGTATCATCCAGGCGAACTGGTCAAGGATCGCTTTCATATAGCAACACCGGCCGAACAACGGTATTCTAAACACGATGTTTACCAAGAGGAATACAGCTCGATGACGCCACAGGTTTCAGGTTGACAAACGTCGATACGAAGAAAAGGTTCCTTTTCCGATAGTGTCACCAGCAGACACGCAGCTGGCCAAGTAGAGGAAGTGTTGGTAAAACGCCATATTTCCCAATAACTCACTAGAATCAGCCAAAAGCATGGAGTTACTGTTAGCCATGATATTGATTTTTAAATGTGTGCGCTATCTTTTCCACCTTCAAACGAGCACTGTGATTTGCTGATTTGGCAAGGCCGTTGAAGGACCTCAACCAATCATGAGTTTCCTTTACTTTCTAGTCTTCTGTGTTGGCGTGCAAATAGATCATGTCTGAAGTCTAATCTTATTTCCTTCGGGGTTGGGGCTTTAGACTGGTGCCAAATTTGTGTTCCATTAATTATTCCGTGCCGTGATTTCGTTGTGAGTGTTCAGATTCCGTGCGTGTTCGTTCCGAATTGTGTTAGTGGTCAGAGGATTGCAACACAAAGCTATCTACTTACTCAGGCCTTCCACCTCTTCCCCCTTACACGTCCCTCTTATCATCCTCTTCCAAGTTCAATTTTATCCCCGTTTAAAGCCCGCAAATCTTGGCCCTCCCCTAGTTCGCATCGATTGTCGCTTGACTTCTAGTCACGACTCACACGCAATTGCATAGTCTCATTCGGGTCCAGTCGACAAGTCCATGTACAACCAAGCGTACAACGTCAGTTCATCCGCATCCAGTTAGAGGCTTTGATCCCCCTAAGATTGTATCAGTCGATGTCTGCTGTTTGTCAGTAAATGTGAATGCAAAATCCGAGCTGTGCTCACCCTGCGGTCCCCACAGGGCGGCACTTCCTCAGTGTGTCTGCCTGGAGATGTCACCGTTCCAAATGACGGTCAAGTCGGTGTGGGCAATGTTTTGAGCCCCCAGGCTGAAGCTGTTTTGATCGACTGGATCTCAATTAATAGCGGAATGTGCGACGTTAGATTCCTTGGCTAGTTCAAGGCTTTGAATTTGCGCTGGGACAAACAGTGCCCATTTGTCATTGTGGCATACGCTAACACAAACTGTAGCGTTGACGCGGTGAAAGATGAGTTCTATCACCAACTGAACGAGCTGCTTCGTCACAGCAGAAGTACAGATACTGCGGTGCTGGCTAGTGATCTGAAAGCTCAAGTTAGAAAACTGTCTACTGGTGAGCGGCAACTGGGAGACCAGCACGGTGCAAGCTCCCGTAATGATAACCGTGAGCGGTTGCTGCACCTGTGTGAAGATGTTCATCAATTTCTCGCGAGTACTAACTTCTGACACAACACCCACAGAAGACTGACAGGCGCCACCAGCCTCGGAGCAAATACGAACGCAAATTCATCATATCACTACCAGTTACCGTTGTTGTGTATAAAACTGCTGTTTAGTTAAAGCACGAATGTGGACCACGCACTTGTGTGTGCCTAGCTGCGAATTCGATAACGTAGGAACATGCATCGTCATCAGTACAAGTTAGCTGAGGGCGGCATAATTATCATCAGTATACACGTTAGATGATGATGATGATATGTGATGCGTCAGGTGCACGCCGTAACGGCACTTCGCTGCTGTGTGATCACCACCAGTCGCGCGCGGGCTGAGTAGACCGCGCGGACGTCCACCCCTATGTGGATTCGAACCGGGACTTCGTGATTGCAAACCAGGTGCGCAGACAACTCGGCCACCGGCCGAGGTGGAGAACACCACAGCCAATATGTCGCAATATAAAAGAAAAATATAAGCAACAAAGGCACGCCGGCTGAATCACCAGTAACCGGTGGACATTGTCCCGGAATGCTCAGTCGGATATTATGCCCCAAAAGAGTTATATTATGCCTGACAAGTGAAATTGTGGTCAGAGAGGTAGGGACAAAGAAACTAAAAACACAAACGCCACTGAAGTTGGCGCATATACATGTCAACAAGTGTATCCAGCCAAACGTACGCATCATCCTTCGGTCCCCAACTAGAGAGCCGAGAGGCTCCAACCGAGGCTAACTTCGAAGTTGTGGCCTTTATTCCTCTAGACAAGGTCATCACTTGGCAGCCTCTCTTCTCCCATCCGCGCTCCAAGCGCGCAAACAAAGCACGTTGCGGGAGCCTCTGGGCTGGCATGAGCAACACTTGGCCTAGCCATCGGAACATGGTGCGTGAAATAAAGGTGCTGAGCGGTTCGCTTCGTCTTCCTACGCTATAAACAAGGCGTCGAACACGCTCAATGCTC